GTCGTATCCCAGTGCCTAGCACATCGTAGGTCCCAACAAATATCTGTTGAAGGAATAAGTAAAGGAACAAACAAATGCACCTTGTTTGAAGGCGCAGGTCAGCAGTGCCTCTCAGATGTAACTGGGGGTGGGAGAAAGACTAGAAAGTGGGACAGAGGAAAGACTTCCGATGATGTCCAAGTTCATGAGATCCAGAGGCGGTGCCAAGCCCAGCATGGGAGTGAGGCTACCACTTCTGGCTGTTACTTCCCAGCTGGTGACACACACCCAACCCTCGACAGCAACCCCAAGCCCAGTACCAAGCCAACGCGATGGTGTAAACAGCCTCCCAGTATCGCCCAGCCCACCCAGCCTGAGCCCAGAGGCTATGGCTACATGCCATGTGTGCCTCGCTGGGGTTTCTGGGCACTGGACTCCTCTGTGCACAGAGGGCCTCTGGGTCCCCGCCCGCCAGGAAGTGCCACAGGGGCTCCCCGTTTCCTCCCCCCTCCTCTCCCAGCAGTGCCCCTGTTTGGCAGTTCCTCTTCAGCACCAGCCAGAGAGACTCAGGGAAGCACCCCATCCTGGGAACAAATGAGGCCATTAACATCGTCAGAGGTGACTGGCCAAGACACACCTGGAATCCTTTCTTGTCTAAATCCCTTCAGATGCTCTTTGTGGGGGAGCACAGCAAAGGTCCTTGAGATGCTGGCATCAACCGCCCCCGCCCTCCAAGAGAGCACCCACTGTGCTTCCCAGGCCACAGGGGGCTTTTCTTGCCGGGCTCTATGATATGAGGGATGCTCGAGGCAAACGCGGGTGTCAGAAGGAATTAGGAGCCCCAGCTCGGCCACCACATGGCTGTACGGCCTTTGAGTTCTTGTCCTGGGGTCATCCTCTCTAGGGCTCCTTCAGCCTCTAAAGACAAACTCTGCTCCTTCACTTCACTTCTCTACCCTGACACACCCCGTCGGCACCACATTCTTCTGTGCATAGTCTGTCGTTTTGCGAATCTTTTTAAGACGTGCGTGTCCCCAAGTCGGTACTTTGCACGTGCACATCTGTTGGGTGTGTCTGCAGGACCTGATCGGGGCGGGAGGGGGTTCTCCATCTGGCTTCTCTCAAGCACAGTTTGAACGAAAAGAGCAACCTATTTTGTTGCTAAAATTGACTGAAGGGGACTCGCGGGCTGCCCATCCAGATGCACGAGGCTCTGCACCTGCCCGGCGGATCTGGGCCCAAGAGAAACACCTGGCGATGTCGGCAGTGAAGGGAGCAGCTCAGGGGAGATCTGGCCGTGTGCAAGGAGATGGCCCAAGTCCTGAATCTTCGTGGCTTCTTGAGATCAACTGACATGTTTGGTGCCTTTTGGAGAGCAGTTGTTGGCACTGAATGCAGGAAGAAAGGGGGCCGTAAGGTGGAGGCGGGCTGGGTGGTGCCTACTAGAGATGCCAAATATGGAGGAAGTCGCCTGCCCCGGCATGAACAGTCAAGGTTGAAAAGCGTTCCTGGCTGGGATGTCTCAGGTTCCACCACGACAGAATTATCCTGTCTACACTCAGCCCCTAGGAGTCATAAGCTGGGACACCCCGGTTGTGACTGCAACTCCAATGGCCTCAGCTCCCCTTGCACTTTCAGTATAAGCTCCTGGAGGGGGCAGTTGTCTGCTTTGTTCACTGCTGCGTCCCCTGTGCCTGGAGCAGTGAGCCCCTGGCACATAGTCGGGCTAGTAAGTAGTTAGTAACTAAAGGTGGGACTCCTGAGCTAGTAGGAGAGCTCTGTCCAGGAGGGATCTAACGTGTTGAGGGATTGGAGGTGGGTGGCTGGGGCCTGGGTCCTCTGACACTGTGCGCCAGGCCAGCCTGCTCCAGGGGATTGCCTAACCCACTCTGCCCCCATCCAGCCTGTCCCATCCAGCCTTCCCGCCTCTCACCTCGGCCTGGTTGGAATCCAAAGCTACTGGTGCGCCCCCTACTCCCTCAGCCTTAGGAGGCCTACCTCCACGCCTTCCCCTCCTCCTCCACCGACCTCCACAGCCCTGGCTGCCACCCCAGCCCAGTGTCCTTGAAATCCACCACAGCCAAGGGCCTCCGTGTCCCTCCGAGGATGGGAGAGACCTCTCTGAGCAGGACAGGCAGGGGACAGGGAAACAGAGGGGTTTGGCACTGCCAGCCTGGGGCACCAGAGCACATTCCATAGCTCTTGAATCCACCACTCCCAAAACCTCAAGAAAATTCCTCGAGACAGACCCAATAACCCTGAGTGGGAGAGACTCAGCAGATTTGAAAACAGAAAGGAATATGTAGCTCTTATTGAAATTAGACAACCTGTGTTGGCTGAACTTCTGCAACAGTTCCACGTAGGGTGCCAGGAGACAAGGCTGGGGCCAGGAGAAGCACCCCTGACCCCCAGAGGTAAAGCGACACCCAGAGCACCAGAAAACCAAGCAGGTGGACAAATACACTGACGTGCAAGCCACACACAGGCGTTCACAGGGAACAGGTGTAAGGGGGTTGATACCTGGACACAGTTTATCTCGGAGGGCTTCTTGGGGGAGAGTTCTAGACAGAATTACAAAGGAAGTTAAAATTAAAACAGAAGACCTTCTTTGGCAGAAAGGAAAGAAGAAGGTGTTAGCAGTCTCGAAGCGTTGAGGTTTTAAAGGGGGTGGTGACACAGGCTGTCAGGGAGGCCAGAGAATCCTAGGCATTCATATAGACATCATCCACCAGGTGAAGGTCACAGAAGAGGGAGTGAAGGAGGAAGAGAGGTGAAAGATTTCTCTATTTCCATCTATCTCACCAAAGTCAGTGAGTGCGACAGTCCAGCTTCAGAAACGAGTCCAGGTAGAAAAATTAGAGAGAGGAGGGAGGGAAGGAAGGAAGCGGGCAGCCCCAGACAAGAGGTGAGGGCTGAGAGGAAACAGAATGAGACGGCAATGCCTGGGACCACGGCTCCCGGGAGAGGGTGTGGGAAAGGCCTGGCCCCAGCTTGAAGGAGACTGGAGCCAGCTTCCTCACCGAGCCTGATGGGAGAAAGCCGCGGTGGGCCCCACTCCCAAGGGCGTGCCCGCGAAGGCGGTCCCCAGGCCTTGACCCTCCACCAGCCTTTGTTCCATGGAAAACTTCGAAGGGTTTACTCGGCACGGCTCAGGAAACAAGTGTCCCTTCTTCGGGGAGAAGGATTATCATGCAATGAGTGTAAAACACAAAGACGATTATTCTTCCCACCCCAGCCGCATGCACCACCCTAGCCAGGACACTGGCAACCAGGCGAGAGAGCTCCAGCACTCCTCTTGGCCTGTGTCAACAAAAGCCATGATTCATAGGTTCCCTGTGGAAACTGAGACTCTCAAACAGTCTCTGGATGGAGGAGAGGCCCACCTCCTGGCCTCAGCCCCAAGGAGGAGATAGCTCTGAGAACAGAGAACCACCGGTCCAAGCGCCATTCCAGGCAGGTGAGCATCCGCCAACCCATTGGTTCCCCATGTGCCTGTGAGGAGAGACCGCGGAAGCCAGCTCTGCCTCTCACTAGCCAGCGATGTTGATCTACTTAGTGTCCCTTTCAGGGCCTCAGTTTCCTCATCCACAAGATGGAGACGAATACATTTCAGCTCCTCTCTCACTCTTCCATCCTTCAAAACTGCAAGAAGCAAAACGTCGCCAGGCGGAAGAAGATCTAACAGTTTCTCTGTCCGGCTGCCCCCACGGGAGAGGCGGGGAGATGAGATGCAGAGCCAAGTGGACGAGGAGCTTGTAGAGCCATACCAGCTTTAGACTGATGGTGGATGTAGGGCACGGCCCACAAGACGAGGGGAAAAAAGGACTCCTCTACTCAGTGCAACCACTGGAGCTCTTTCCACGAAGGACTCCAGGGTTGGGGTCCCTGGCCCCTAGCAGGTGGGGTGGCTAGTCTGGGACTTCTGGGGTATGGCAGCCTCCCACAGAGTAGGGAGGTAGCACTTTATCGTATACCACCCTTCCCTAAATTACATAACAGGCTTCAGTGCTGCCTTCCCAAGACGATCATGAGCCCACCAGTAAAGGAAAAACGTGTATTGCGCTTCTTTCAAATCCCCACAGGACTTGCCACGGGATGGACACACTGCTGGCGCCTCATTCATACTCGCTTGATGGCATCAGAAGGAGAGAAGATGAAACAAACGCTCAGTGCTCACATGTCCCCTGGGCATCACGAAAGTCATTCTCCCACATGAATACTCGTCACCAACCCCACTTCACAGACACCCAAACTGAGACTCAGAGAATTTTCATGACTGGCCCCGGGTCTCACATGGCAGGGCTGGGATCGAGACCCCTGTCCTCCCACCCTCATGGCTTCTTCCCACAGACAGAGGACCTGTCTTGAGAGTCACGTGAGATTGGAGGAGACAGGACATACATGCGCACACACCCACATGCATGCACATGCTCCTGCTCCAGAAAATCAATGTCACCACAGAGATGGAAGTGTAAGAGTCAGAGAAAGGGGCAACCAAAACTGGATGGATTCCTAAGGAAGATGAGCTAAAGCAGGATTTTCAAGATCTGGAGGGACAGCGTGGGGGGCAGGGGACTGGGCAGTCACTGCCGAGAACACGCTCCAGAATAGGAAGCTCATCCAAGGAGCAGGAAGGGGCAGGAAACAGGGAATAGCAGTCTCTTGTGTTGACACAAGATGTTTGGACAGGAGAGAGTCGGTCCCAGGCCTAAGAAAGCGGCATAGAAATGAGGCAGTGTTTTTCGAGTCCAATATAAGACGCAAGATTAGGACATGACTGAAAGCAATTAACGTGCTTCTCATTCGTCTGGTGATCAAGTTGCAACTAGAAATGTGTTTCCACATGGGGACGGGGGGGGAGGGGGTGCTGGGGAACCAACCAGCAGCTTTTATCATTTCCAGAGGGGAGGTGAGTGTGAGCTCAGGGTTGGCGAATGCCTAGGGGATGCCATCAGAGGCCTCCATTAGCAGTGCCCGCCCCTCCTTGAGGCCCATAAAAGCAGAGGGGCCTGGGGCTCCCCAGATGCCCTGTCCTCTCTATCCGCCTTCTCACGCACCCACCTCAGGAGCTCTTCTCGCCAGCCTTTCTCAGCCACCATGTCCAGGCAGTCCACCATCACCTTCCAGACCAGCGGGCGCAGGGGCTTCAGCACTGCCTCGGCCACCACCCTAGCCACCGGACGCTCCCGTTTCAGCTCCGTCTCCACGACCCGCTCCACAGGAGGCAGTGGAGGGCTGGGAAGGATCAGTGGCGCTGGCACCGGCTTTGGAAGCCGCAGCCTCTACAACCTGGGGGGGACCAAGCGGGTCTCCATGAGTGGGTGTGGCAGCAACTTCCGAAGTGGCTTTGGTGGCAGGGCAAGCGGCGGGTTTGGGGTCAGCGGTGGATTTGGCTACGGGGGTGGGGTCGGAGGGGGCTATGGGGGCTCTAGCTTCCCCTCCTCTGGAGGCATCCAAGAGGTCACCGTCAACCAGAGTCTCCTGACCCCTCTCAACCTGCAAATCGACCCCACCATCCAGCGGGTACGGAAAGAAGAGCGGGAGCAGATCAAGACCCTCAACAACAAGTTCGCCTCCTTCATCGACAAGGTGAGCCGGGAGCTGCCTCTCCTCCATTGGGTTAGGGCAGCATGAACTCTTGGAGAGGCCCTGGCCCGGAGGGCGAGCAGTAGTAATGCAGTGTCCTCCCTGTGAGGAAGCTCATCTGCTCGATAAGTACCTCCCAGGGGCTGAAGCGTTTTCCAGCTTGTCCCACAAGACATTGTGGAAATTTCCCCTCATCCTCCTCGGGAGCCATGCAGCCCGGGTCAGTCAACAGCAAGGGAAGAGTTAAGTTCTTCTCCACAGGAGTTTCCTCTGAGCAACCTGACCTACCCCAGAGCAGGCGTTGTCTAGACACTCAACCCAACAGCAGAGGCTCCCCACAGAGGCCTCCAAGCCCCACCACACTAGCTCTATGGAAACCCCCAAGAGTTCCAAGGTAGCTTCAAGGGCTTTCCCATTCTGAGCTGGAGTTGTCAATACAATAGTGGACAGATGGGTGTCAGGTGAAAAGTATATTTTTCTTCTCTCCCTTATTCACTGGAGCGTCTGGCTCTGCCTCCCTAGTTTCTCAAGATTTCATTCTCTTCTTCCCCCTTCCAGGTGCGCTTCCTGGAGCAGCAGAACAAGGTCCTGGAGACAAAGTGGAGCCTCCTACAGGAGCAGGGCTCCAAGACGGTGAGGCAGAACCTGGAGCCCTTATTTGACACCTACATCAATGACCTCCGCCGGCAGCTGGACAGCATCACCTCCGAGAGGGGGAGGCTGGACGCCGAGCTGAGGAACATGCAGGACGTCGTGGAGGATTTCAAAGTCAGGTGAGTGGGAAACGGGCAGACACATAGTCTGGTGACACACAGTCCTCCCAGGGCTCCTTTTAACGAGGACCAGAGAGATGCAAAGGACCCAATGCAATGTCATCGGGAGGTTTGGAGCCTGCCATCGTTATCCTGTAAGAGGAAGACAGCCTGGTGTGGGTGACAAAGGGACCCTCATCTCATGCCTCACCATTAACAAGAAGCCTATTCTTTGTCTGCCTCCATGACTGCAAAGGGATATCTGTATCATCTAACAAAACTTTGCTACTCTGGGAAGTATAATATGATTTCATGGTCAGCGTGTTATTTAAGTCTCTGGATGTGGGCTGTATTGCTGAGATGGCTTGCATTTCCAGGATGTGCACTAGAGTACAAACAAGACAGTCTGATCCTCCTCGGGGAGGCGAGCTTTGTGCATCATCTGGGTTGCAGAGCTGAGACATCCAATGGAAACCCCTTAGCTGGCTGACCCTTGGTTTCTTCGTTTGGGTTCCACCTAGCTACAAAAAACACACTGCTCAATGGCCGCCCTGAGGTTCAGAGAAAATATATCAAAATCTACTGGGAATAGTGTCCTGATGGATAGTTTACCCCACTGTTCAAGCAGGCACTTGGGGCAGCAAAATTTTTTTAAGATTGGAATTGTGCATCTCTAAGATAGAGTTGCATAAGTACATATTTCTATTCTTGTAAGTTCCACGCTCACCTTCTAGTCTTACAAAAGAAAGAAGAAAAAAACTTCTGGCAGAAGAAATGATTCCTCTTTTATAGAGGGGGAAATAGAGGTTAAGTGAATCACTCAAAGTCACACGCAGGTCAGGGAAGAGCTGAGAAGGATCTGAGGTCTCTTAAGTCTTCCTGCAGTCCAGTCCATCCTCCTCAGCCTGGGAAGAGTTCAATCGAACCCTTGCTCAACCACACGCCCCCTCTCCTCTGTGCTTACAGGTACGAGGATGAAATTAACAAGCGCACGGCTGCTGAGAATGAGTTTGTGGCCCTGAAGAAGGTGGGTGGAAACGTCTCTCAAAGGAGAAGATCCAAAGCTGAATCTTGGAGTGTGGGGTGACCTGACCCTGAGGCCACCCAAGAAATGTGGCATCAACCTTGAGAGTATCTAGAGAGCTTAAACCTGCCAAAATGTTCCCTCGGTGTTTACGGTCCCACTGACCCTGCTGGCGTTTCTGTAACCCGGGGAACTCAAGCCCCCAGTCCCCAGCAGTCATCCACTCCCGACTGCAGTCCCCAGACACAGAGTTGGCTGAAATCCAACCTAGAAGGGCCAGGGAGGAGCTGCCCAGCTTCTTTTGGACTCACTGCTTGGGGTCAGGGTCTCAGAGGAGCATCCTGTGCTGTCGTTCCAGGACGTGGACGCCGCCTACATGAACAAGGTGGAGCTGGAGGCCAAGGTCAACTGTCTGACCGACGAGATCAACTGCTTCCAGACTCTCTTTGAGACAGTAAGAGCCTGTGAATGCTTGTGTCCCTCCTAGGTCTGGAGCCTGGGAAGGAAAGGGTGCTGCAAAGAGTGCCATCCATGCAGGGCCCCTACCTGACATCGCGTCCCAGATACTCCCAGCTGGGGGTTGGAGGGTCCTAGGAGAACCACTTGAAATCTTGCCACAGTAAACCCTACCCCAGCTCTGAGGCTTCTCCTCCCACCCCGTGGCCTAGCAAGGAGGGAGAGCTGATTCCCAAATTCCAGGTCACTGGGTAACAGTCCCAAGGAATCGAGAGCCACCTCTCCCTTCCCTCTCCTGGAAAAGATCAAAAAGGCACGCTCCCCCTCGGCTCATTGGTCAGGGCACGTCGTGCCCTCTGAAGATGCCTCGTTCTGGGCACTGCCACACTGAAGGCAGAGAGCCGGTCTGTGGAAAGGGAGAGAGAGGTAGGGAGTGGTGACGTCATGCTGTGTGGGAGGGCAACAGGGTCCTAAAAACCACACGATCCTGAAGAAATATTTTGTGCTGGCATACGAATCGACATATGTCGTATTCAAGTCGATGTAATTTGGATCAGAGCACTTTTTCCCATCCTTCCCACTCAGGGAAAGCACAGAGATGGGAGTCTTGGGAAGGACACTGGGGGACACACTCCCGTCACACTGATCTATGACCCGGGAACTTCTCGGGGATTGGCATGAGACCCCCTAAATGGTTGGGAGTGCCCAGGGAAGAGCTAGAAGAATCCTTGCCAGGGATGCCAAAGGGATTCCTGACCTAGATGGCTAGTCAACCGTGTGATTTCAAGATCCCTTCTCTTTATGCCTCGGTGACGCTGAGTTTACTGGCTCTGCAGGAGCTATCCCAGATGCAGACACGCATCTCAGACACATCTGTGGTCCTCTCCATGGACAACAATCGCAGCCTGGACCTGGACAGCATCATCGCCGAGGTCAAGGCCCAGTACGAGGACATCGCAAACCGCAGCCGGGCAGAGGCAGAGTCCTGGTATCAGACCAAGGTGGGTGTGGGCACCTCCGTGATAGGTTCCAGGGCTAGTGCTCTCTGAAGCCCCAAATCACCATTTAACCATTCACTACATGCCTCAGGAAACATGCAAGCAATTCCATTTCTTGTATCTTGGCAGAAGCATCTTTGATGCTATGAAAACTTAGCTTGAAATGCATGTGGAAATCCAACCATACATACTAACACATGGCCACATGATCTGGGGTGCTCAGGACAGCCACAATGCCCGTGGCATTTATGATCTGGTTGGGAGCTGGGTGAGACTCCAAAACAACCAAGAAACAGCCACACAGCTGTTTCTAAAGGGCTTATTTATTCAACGCGTGTTTACGGAGCTCCCGCTGGACGCCAAGCAGGGTTCAGAGTCGTAAATAAACAAACTGCGAACAGAGACTCCAAGGTCTGGGAGGCCATGAAGTAAATAGACAATCATGGGAGGGAAAAAGACAGCATTACTAAAAACCTTCCAAGAAGAGGTGGGGTTTTGGTCCATTTTGGAAACAGCAGGGGACAAAAGATTGCCAAGGAGGGGGGAGGTGTTAAGGCTGAGCAGGCAGCCCTTCGGGGCTCGAAGGCAGAAGTGAGCACTTTGCCAAGCAAGAGAGTTTGCATCAGGAAGAGTGAGGTGCGGATGACCATAGAGAGCTGGTGTCCACAGGCGCAGATGGCCGGGAGCCCTGGCTCTGGAGGGTGTGGGCGACTGGAGAGTCCAGCCCCTGGGATCACCTCCCTGCCACATCCAGACCCTTCTCAGGGCAGCTGCTCCCCTGCAAGCTGGCTTCCAACCCTTGTCCTGCTCTGTGCACTGCCTTAGTCCCCACCACTGCAGTGTGGGTGTCAGGGGCCAGGGTGACCAGTGCAGAGCAGCCCCTTGACCCCCAGGTGGAGTGCTTGAAGTTTATAGGGAATGATTCCTTTTGCTGGCAAGGCTGTTGCTCCCTTTAACCATGTGCATCTAGAAATACAAAACCTGAGCTAGTCCACACTTTCAAAACCGGGCACATCTTCACTCCGGCGGGCGCTCTGCTTCCACTGGGAGAGGTGTAGGTGTACTCCGTCTGCGGGAGGAGACAGGCTGCATTTATTTCTCCTAAATGAGTGTATCTTGGATATGCGCCATTAGACAAAGAGCTCCCTGAGATAGAGGATCCTGTTACGAAGTCTTCAGAGCTGTGTCCCTCGGCTCCATCCAACGCCGTGTCCTTGCATCTCCTCCCTGTTGCCCCAGCCCTGGGGTCTGGAGGGCTACCAAAATTCATGGTCACAATTGGTCTGGAGGTATGCCCCGTGATCAGGAACTCCTCAGGGACAGTGATCAAGTCACCTCTCCCTCCTAGAGCTCACCATGTCCTTCCTGCCCCACGCAGGCCGTTTCCTCTGCCTGGAATATTCTCTCCCCGAGCCGGTCACTTAGATCACTCCTTCCATCTTCAGAGCACAGCTGGAGCACCTCCATCTCTGGAAGGACACCCATGACCCCACCCCCCAATTCCATATTTGAGTCAGATTCCTTTATTACACTCTCGTAGGACCCTTTTCGTTTCCTAAGAGGTGCTATCTTGGTTTGGAACTATAAATTTGATAATATGCTAATTCGATTAATGTCTATCTCCCTCCAATAAACTGCAACAAGGAGTCTGATTATGCTTTTCATGATTTTCCCAGAGTCTAGTACATGCCTGGCAAGTAGATGTGCTCAAGAAATGTCACCCGAATAAATGAGCAAGTGTAGGCGTGAATGATTGTGTGTGGATACGCCTGCTGTGGCACCAAGGGCCAGGCTGTGTGCACAGGGAGTGCCCAGGTCAGGCGTTTGATGCGGGGACTGGGTCTGCTCTGGTTCTCTCAGTACGAAGAGCTGCAGGTCACGGCGGGCAGACACGGCGATGATCTCCGAAACACCAAACAAGAGATCTCCGAGATGAACCGAATGATCCAGAGGCTGAGAGCCGAGGTCGACAGCGTCAAGAAGCAGGTAAAGTCATGCCAGGGCCGTGAGCTGCTCACACACTCATTATTCTGGGTCATTCTGCCATGCTTACAGGCCTCAAGGAGCACCACACCTCCAAGGGCGCCCATAAGGCTCCTGGCTTCCTCCTCTCCCTGCAGTGTTCCAGCCTGCAGACGGCCATCGCCGATGGAGAGCAGCGTGGAGAACTGGCCCTCAAGGATGCACGGGCCAAGCTGGTGGAGCTGGAGGAGGCCCTGCAGAAGGCCAAGCAGGACATGGCCCGGTTGCTGCGGGAGTACCAGGAGCTGATGAACGTCAAGCTGGCCCTGGACGTGGAGATCGCCACCTACAGGAAGCTGCTGGAGGGCGAGGAGTGCAGGTGAGGGCAGAGGCGCTGACTCCATCCTGGCTGCCTGGGCTCAGATTGCTGCAGCCCCCTCATCATCTGGAAAAGGGAGCAAGATGCAGGTGGAACTGGGCTATGACAAAGTACACAGAGCAATTTCTTTCCAGGCTAGTAAATCATTATCAGATTCCCATATTCGAGGTATAACTACTTTTAGCACCCCATGGAAATCCAGGACCTGACCAGGTCTAAGTAATCAAGTTCTATCAAAGGAGATGTTTGGTTACATAGCAGGACTGGAATGTGGTATGAAAGGCTCTGGACTGAGAATAAACTGCCCTAGGATGGGGGCTTACAGGTCTGCCACTAACCAGCGCCGTCACCTTAGGAAAGTCAGTATCCTCTCTCCGGCCCTCAATTTCTTCAACAATGGAATAAAGAAGCCAGGTCACATGATCCCCAACCTCAATGGGAGCTTTGAGCTCTGCCAATTACCCGCTGTATGACCGAGGGCAAATTACTTAGCCTCTCCACTCCTCAGTGTCCTCATCTGTAAAATGGGTATAAGCACAGTTTCTCTCTCACATGTTTTTAAGAGGGTTGAAATAATGGAATATACGTGAAGCTCTTAAACTAACGCATGTTACCCAAGTGTCCATCAAATGTTAGCTATCCTTCAGTTTAGGGGCCAAAGACACGGGTTTTGGAGTCAAATGAATCTGGCTTCAAATCCAGCTTTGTGATCACGGGCAAGTTAATTAACCCCTCTGAGATTCAATTTTCCCATCTGTAAAACTGGGACAATAATACCTACCTAGTGGGGTTGTTGAGAGAATTAAGTGGCACAAATGTAGGGAACAGGTCCTCAATAAATGTTAGCTCTTATTAAGGTTCTAGGTATGTGTTTATGAATGAATGCCAGTTCTGTCCTCAAGATGCTAAAACAAAATTACTCTAGTTGCTTCCACAAGAATAGACCGATTATTGCTATTGTTACATTTATGACTCAGAGTCTCTCCACACCTGTAATAACTCAGCACTGCCCAGTGCATGACAACAGTCCATTGTTGACAGAACCCTTCTTGTTCTAGAACAAGCCCTGGCTTTCCAACTGAGACCGGCGTACGATTCCTTTAATTTTCGTAAGCTGTCTACCTACTTTAAATCAAAAATTCCAAGATTACAGGTTTTACTCCTATGAACCTCAAACTCCATATTATTTCAGTCATTAGATTATTATTTTTAATACTACTAGTATTTAAATATTTCAACCTCCATTACTCCTGCAATAAAAATAATAACGGGTTTTTAAGTGAATTTAAAACAGTTACAAAAATGTCATTTCAAAGGCCCGCAAGCTGCTGGACGCAATAGTAACCTTCTTTCTCCCCTGTCCTCCCAATCAGGCTGAGCGGAGAGGGCGTTTCTCCAGTCAACATCTGTGAGTATGACAGCCCCCTCTGCCATTTGGAGTGTATGTGGTTGGCGGGCTGGGAAGGTGGTGGGCAAGCCAGAGGGTGGAGGGCACACATGGGGCCTTGGAGGGGATCCCACTGGTAAGGTTCATTTTGAGAAGCTTTGAGGTTTTGGATTCTTTAAAAAGAGAGCCATATGGGAAAGAGTATTTAATGTCACCATTCTGACCTCTTTGCAAGAGAGAGCACCACAGAGGGGCCGTGGGAGGTTTGCTGTAACCCTTCTGCATGGGTTTAGAAGACCCGTGAGCCACACCTCCCGCCACCCAGGATGCCACACCTTTCTTGCTGGGGCTGCAAGTCCAGCTCAGAGATGAGCGTTCAGTGTCGACAGGATTTATGAAAACTCCCGGTCGGCCTTCAACCTTTGGAGGGAGGCTTCTCAGTGGACACAAGAGCATGGCCGACAGGCCAGCCCCTTCCCAGGACAGTGTGGGGAGAAGCCCCACTGCTTGCTAACTCTCAGAGCATCACTGCAGAAAGTCACCAAGGGTTTGCAAGGCAGCAAGGGCACTGTGAGACACAGCGGTGGGGGCAGCTGCTGGAAACGGGTGAGGAGTCAGCAAGCTGGCCCGGCCCCGAGCCAGTAAGAGCAGAAGTCGTCACTCAGAGCTCAGCGCTGGCATCATGAGGCCGACAGAAAGGACTTTGCAACTTACGCTCTACAAGGGAGCTTGGTTTTCTCAGCACAGGCTTCATAATAGCAATGGCTACATTAACTGAGGGTTCCAGAAGGCGAAGGCCTCTGAACCACCCCGGTGTGGTGTCCTCCTTCACTGATATCCCTGTCTAGTGGCTCCAGAGATCCTCACAGCTAATTTTGGGAATAGATAGTATAAATTCTACAGTTTCCTTTCTCTTAAAGCACCTAGAAGTCAGTACTCGCTCCCTAGGCTGCTGCAGCAAAGGACCACACCCTGGGCACCTGAACACAGCAGCAACGTCTTGTCTCCCAGTTCTGGCGGCTAGACGTCCAAAATCGAGGTGTCGGCAGGGCCATGCTCCCTCTGGGACCTGCAGGGGACAGTCCTTCCCTGCCTCTTCACAGCATCTGGTGGCAGCTGTCCGTCCTCGGGGCCCTCGCATTGCATCACTGCAATCTGCCCTGTGATCATGTGGCCCTGTCCCCGCGTGTGTCTTCACGTGACGGTGTCCATCTTCCTCTAGGGCGCCAGTCACACCGGCTCAGGGCCCACCCTAATGGCTTTACCTTAACTTAATTACATCGGCAAGATCTTATTTCCAAATAAGGTCCCGTTCACAGGTATTGGGGGGTCAGGTCTCCAACGTACTTTTTCGAGGACACAGTTCATCCCATAACAGAGTCCCTTTCTCATTTTTATTTTCCTTCTGAAAAGCCCATCTAGGGTACTAGATGTTTAAGATGATGGGTGGTGATAAAAATTAGGAAAAGAGCAGATGGAAGGGGAGAAAAGGCATCATCTATCACTTGGTCTGTTAAGAATATTCCAGCCTCCCTCTGGGATTCAGAGTGCGGAGGCTGGGGGACACCAAGGGAAGCACATACGTGCCCTGCCATGAGCTTTCAGAAGGAAGGGAGACACCAGAGCCAGGCCCACAGAGGGAGATGGGGACAGAGCAGCAGGGGAAAGGGTGACAGGATGAAAAGGGAAGGCAGGAGGACCAGAAGAGCTTCCTGAAGGAGAGAGTCCCCAGGAAGTTCTGGAAGGAAAAGAGAGGCACCCAGTAGCAGAGGGGAGGCAAGAAGCCATTCCAGACTGGGAGAATGACGGCACTACAGCACAGGGAAAACCAGGCTGGGACAGAGGACAGTGACCTCACCAAGTGGGTGGGAAAATTGAGAAGAGGCAAACAGCTGCCCGACAAGACCATCCTGGCCCCACGCCACGGCCATCAGGGCCCAGGCCCTGACACCACGGGCATCTTCTGTCCTGCCCTAAATTCTGACCACGTCTCCTCTCTTCCGGCAGCCGTGGTCACCTCCACCGTTTCCAGTGGCTATGGCGGCAGCAGCGGCATTGGAGGTGGAAGCCTGGGTCTCAGCGGGGGCAGCGGCTACTCCTTCACCACCAGCGGTGGGCACGGCCTGGGGGCGGGCCTGGGGGGCTCCGGCTTCAGTGCCAGCAGCAGCCGGGGCCCCGGGGGCAGTGGCTCCAGCGTCAAGTTCGTCTCCACTACCTCCTCCAGCCGGAAGAGCTACAAGCACTGAGTGCAGCTGCCTGCTCCCTCACCCCTGCCCTGAAGCCAGCTCTGCCCGCTGACCTGGCCTGTCTGCATCACCCTGGACACCTGGGTCCTTCCCCGTCTTCTGCCTCCACAAGGCCCACCTGTGCTGCTGGGAAGCCTGGGGTCCTGGCTAAACCCCATCCCCACCTAAACCAGCCTCTGCCCTCCTGACCGTTCCTGACACCCTCTCTGTGCCAAGCCCGCTGTCTTTCAAGATTCACATTCAGCTTGTCTTGTGGGGACTCTCCCCTCGGCTTCTCCTCCTCACTCCAGATGCACAGGTGGGGAGCCTGTGTCTCCCATCTCACTGCCAGGTCGGCAGCCCGCCTGTCTCACGGTGCTTATAAGCTGTCTGCTGGGAGTGAGGGCTCCCCTCTTCCCTCCCTGGAATGTGTCAATTAAACGCATGTGTAATGTGTTTGGTGTCCGGCCCTCTGTTTGGAGGGGTGATGTTGCACAGAGAAATTCTTCTCCTCCTGGTCTCCTCCCAGCACAGGGCCCCACACAAGGAGAGCTCAGAGCACGTCAGACCTACCCCCTCCCTCAGAGCTAAGAAGGCGGGACTGGGAGATGAGAGGGACCCGAGGGCAGACTGCCAGCCGTCCTCCCTCCTGGAGCTTCTGCCCACTTCCTCCTACCTCTCTGTAGGATGCCTTCTTTGAGGAGCCCAAGGCCCTAGGCAGAATCTCTGCCCAGCCTCCCCGCTCCGTATGTCATGCAGGTTGACGCCATCCCCTCCCAACGCCAAACTGTGTTCCGAGGACACTGACGCAGGGTGGGCGGCTCAGCCCTCCTCCAGAAAAGGGGCCGATTGTTCCCTGGCAGCTTCAAACTTGCAGACCTAAGCAGAGAAATAACAGGCCAGGAGAGGAGTTAAAAGTCAGCCCTGGGGGCAATGCTTGCGCCAAGCAGAGGAGCCATTTAGGCCCATAATTGCAGGCAACAGTGAGACACCCAGGGAGCTCCCATATTCCTGAGTCCACAGTCTCCAGAACCCCTCCCGTAAGGCCTGAGCCCCAGGCGGTGCCCCGGAGGGCCTGGAGGGAGTGAGTTCAGTGCTCAGGACCAGGCTCGCAACTGGTGGGAACCAGGGATCTGAAACACAATTGTCCAGGGTGAAGGAGTGGGAAGTTAAGTGGCAGGGAAGGGACGGGCCATGAACCAGGACGAGAGAAGATGAGGGTAAAGCCAGGAGCTAAAATTTGGAAGGGTTGGGAGAGAGAGGATGGCAGGAAAGAGAGAAATGACACTGGGGACAATTATTAAACATTTCTCGTCCCTAGGGACGAGAAGAGTAGCAGGAACAGGAATTTGGAGTGAAATCTGAGCCTGCCACCCTTGGACAACCTCTTGTTCTCCATCACATGAGCTGTGGAGATGTGAAGGGGGAATCTGCAGTCAGACCACTGGGCCTCACATCAGCCCGGCACTCACCCTGTGGCGTCACCACCAGGTCTCTTAGCTACCCTATGCCTCGACTGCTTCTTGCGCGAAACAAGAATAATGATAATAGCCATCCCCTGGTGCTGCATACAGATTACTGAGAAGATGGGTGTAGAGCAGTGACCTGTCATAGCTGCTCAGTAAATGTTGGCAATTGTTATTACACGTGTCACTGCCCACCCCCAATGTCATTATGAGAATCAAATGATATAATGCCTGCAATGGGCCTGCCACACGGTCTGGCACACGGTCTGGACCTCAGTAAATGGGGTTTATTTCCTTCATAACTGCCCGTGCTGGGAGGGGCATAATCAATGCCCGGGTTCGGAGTGCAAGATCCAGGAGTCGAGAAGAGAGGAGTGGATGAGAGGCAGTGGGAGTGCCTGCAGCATGAGGCTGAGAACCTGGGTGGGTGGGGGGCTTGGCCCTGTGGCCTGCCCCAGGCCCGAATCCCCAGGCCTGGTCCTGCCCTGGTAGGGTGTTCCCCAGCATGATTAGCGGGGCAGAAGATGGGCCGTGGCCAGACATGCCATTGGAATGAACTCAACAGAGTGGCCTTTGATCTTCTCCGGACAAGCCCAGTTCTTGCAAGGGATAAAAGTCAAGGAGGGTTTGGGAGAGCTAGACTGTGAAGGCTCCTCATCTCTTTGACGTCTTTGCTCCTCTGACACTCTGGCACCAGCTCCCACCATGACCCAACGGTCCTCTGTCACCATCAAGTCCGGGGGCACCCGGAACTTCAGCGCTTCCTCAGCCAGCCTCCTCTCAGGCTGCCGGCCCAGCTTCAGCTCTTTCTCCGTGTCCCAGGGCGGGAAGAGCTTCGGAGGTGGCTTTGGGGGCGGCTTTGGGACCAGGAGTCTCCACAACCTTGGGGGTAGCAAGAGAATCTCCGTCAGCGGGAGCTACCACTCCAGCCGTGCCGGCTTTGGTGGAGCTGGCTATGGGCTGGGTCTTGGGGGCACAGGGTACCGAGTCGGGGGAGCCTGCAGTGGGTTTGGATTTGGAAGTGGGATGATGTCTGGCGCTGGGGGCATCCAGGAGGTCACCGTCAACCAGAGCCTCCTGACCCCCCTCCACCTGGAGATCGACCCGTCTCTCCAGCGGGTGCGGAAGGAGGAGCGGGAGCAGATCAAGACTCTCAACAACAAGTTCGCCTCCTTTATCGACAAGGTGAGAGGCAAGTGGGGTCCCCACCATGAGAGCAGGGGGCTCCCACGGGGATCTCTGCTTTCTGTGCTTTTCTGAGGTCAACTGTGATTTGCCCAGGACCTGCGATCCTGGGGGCCATGCAGACTGCTGATGGGGTGGGGGGGATTGGTTTCCCACCTTACTGAGGTAGGAGCAGAAAAATGTCCATCTCCAGACTCCAGAGCCATCTGACCCACTGCAAGGACACAGCTCTTTCCATGGATGATGATCATGTACAGGGCTTAAAATTAGTCAGCGGAAGGGACCAGCATGGAGGGAAGGGGATCAAAGAACGAAAGGTTATGAGTTTTGTTCACAGCAACGGGCTGGGGTCCCATTTTCCTGCCTGGTTAACAGGGGCACGTCCTCCCGTGGCAACATCCCTTGTGATTTGGGTATCTGGGAATCTGGGTGGTTGGTGAGACGGGTGCTCAAAGCGTTCCGCACTTTTCTTGTATTGAGAGGAAAGCTGCGACATCAGTCCTGAGGCCACCCTGCTGTGTGGCCTGGAATCCTGGGGATTTGCCCAGTTCTGGCGAAAGAAATGATTCTCTTTTTGCACCATCACCGGTGCACACCTGAGCTCGTTGTTTTTTGCCTGGGAAGAAGCAAATCAAGGATCTGGATCATTAAGGCTCCATACCTGGGATCTGGAAGGAAGAGGGCAAGCCTACGAGGCCACCAGCCTGGGTTCTGTCTTTGGCTTTACTGCTAGGAGCAGCCATAGCTGCTCGGTCCTCGGTTGAGTCAGACAGATGGACTCTGAGGTCCCTTTGCAGATCTGACGGGCTGTGAAATGTCTCATCCCATGCACCCAGTTCTTCGAATGGGTAAACCTAACCCACAGGACAGCTGAGGCGCTGGTTCCTCACCTTTATCCCCCATGTCACCCCACCTGGCCTGGTGTTTGCACCAACAGACGTGAGATTTCCAGGAGCCTGGCTCTGAGGAGAAGATGTGGGCCCTGCCTTTCTTTGGTTCGTCTGGAGGGGACCTAGGGAAGGAGGGGATGTGACTAGGGAGGGACTCAGAGCCAGGACTGCCTTCCTTCCTCTGACAATGAAAGAGAAAGCTGGGGCCCCCGAGGGGGTGTTGTTAAAGACCCTCTGTAGGCACTCTGCCACCTCCAAGGTCTGGGAGTCTCTGTTCCCTCGTTCTCTGAGGCTGTCGTTTCAGCTTTTCCCAATGGTAGGACTTTGTTTGAGGAGCAAGGTTTTGCATATCCCCAAGGTTGCCTCCCAGACTGAGGAGCAGATGAGTGCAATTCGAGAAATTAGCAGCACAAGACCACAAGGGACCTGAGAGAGCAGAAAAAAGGAGGGGCTTGCCCCAGGCCACACAGCTAGTTGGGGACACAGCTGGGATTGTGCCCAGGTCCCCTCAATGCAACTCCAGAGTGACCCATTCCAGCAACCCTGGAGTCTATGGGCAACCAAGTCCAGATTTTAGAACCAGAGAAAGCACGGCAGAAGGAAAACGCCCATTTAACGGGAATCAGAATCTCACCTGGTAATGTGATGGCCCAGTGTTCTGTTCTTCAGCTCCCACACCTCGACATGGTTTGGTGTATTCAGATGGTTTCCAGCCTCTGTGGCCCTCCTTGCTTCTACCTACAAACCAAGCCACCACCTATCTCCCAAGCCCATTGCACCAACATTTGCTTGGCATTCTACATTCTAGGCTCCTTCCGGGTGGAGGAAGAGGAGGAGCCTGCCACCTGGACTCTGAGGCCTCGCAGGGCCCCACTGCACTGTTAGGGGGTCCTGCATCCCAGAGCCCTTCGGGAGGCTGCTGCCGGGAAGCCCTCACAGTCTCTCATCTCTGGCGGGGGCAGGTGCGGTTCCTGGAGCAGCAGAACAAGGTCCTGGAGACCAAATGGAGCCTCCTGCAGGAGCAAAAGACCACCAGGGCCAACATCGAGCCCATGTTTGAAGCCTACATCAGCAACCTGAGGCGGCAGCTGGAGGGGCTGGGCGGAGAGCGGGGGAGGCTCGAGACGGAGCTGAAGAGCATGCAGGACGTGGTGGAGGACTTCAAGAACAAGTGAGTGGATGTCCAGCCACCCCCATGCAGGGCCTTCCCTGAGGCGCCTGGGGCCGCTCTGCTCTCCGGAAGTGCCCCGTGCAGCGAGGAAATGGGGCGCACACTTAGGGCATGGAGGTGGAGTCAGAACAAGCACTGGGACCCTGCAGTGGAGGGGAGGAGCTGGGTTACAGGTGCCCATAACTCACATGGGCACAAAGAACACGTTATACACAACGACCTCGTAAACTCTGCAGGTTAGGAAAGTGAGGTCTGAGATAGCAACCCATCGTCCAAGGTTATACGGCGGCAACAAGTGAGTTAGGAACTCAACTCACTCCCACATTGTTCAGCTCAGTTCCATTGCTGCCTTACGCGGTGTTCACACATCCACCCCAACCCTGGCCAAGGGGCCGGGGAAGAGAGGAAAAATACACATATTTGCTGCCCTCTCCCTAGAACCACACACACACACACACACACACACACCACTAATCATACAATTATGCTTGTGCCTGTAGATGTGAGTAATTTCTTATTTTTATTGTTCTAATTTATTTCTAATTGTCTTGATCCAAACAAAATAAGTGACTAAAGAAGCAGTGTTGGTTTCTGTTTGTATAACATAGTAAGAGTTTCAGGTTTGAGAGCTGTGCTAACAAGTAGTCGCTAGCCACATGGCTATTTAAATTTAAATTAATTGAAATTAAATAAAATTTAAAACTCAGCTCCTCAATCGCACTAGCCACCTTTCAAGTGCTCAGTCACCACATGCGGCTAATGGGTCCCCTAGTGGATGCAGAAATAGAGCATTTCCATCATCGCAGAAAGTTCTAGAATTTAGAATCTTGGCTCAACCCCACTTACTAGCTGGATGACCTAAAGAAAACTAGCCTCTCTAAGCCCCAGTCCCTTTGTCTGTTAAAGGGGGTATTAATAGCACCCACCTTATAGAGGGGTTGAGAGCATTAAATCAAAACTTAGATGTGTAATACTTGGTGGGGTGCCCAGTGCCTGGCACAGAGGAGATTGTTAATAAGTGCTGGCTAATCTTATTGTATTGATGATGAGGTACATGCTTGTAGTGACGCAGACACAGACAGGAGAAGCAAGCACAGACAGATAATTTATAATATGTATGCAAACATGGAGTAATAGTGTTTCAGTCCAAGAAGGCTTCCTGGAGGAGAAGATGAAAAGTCAAGGTTGAGAAGGAAAGAGGCACAGAGAGGACTATGGGGGGATCTGTTGGAGAGCGTGGTCCGGTCAATGGACGGCAACGTTCCTGTGGCAGGCATGTAAGAGGCCTGTGCAGGGCCACGTGATGCTTGCCCTCTGGCAAAGGGCCTGGGAGCTGGGGAACATAGGAGACAAGGACAGGTGCATGGGATCAGGTGACAAAAAGATTTAACGGAAAGGCGACAGGAGGAGACAGTAAGGAGAACCAGGTCAGTTTTCCCAGAGAACGTGGGAGAAAGGCCAGGACTGAAGACCCAGTGACAGGAAAGAGCCTTTCTCAGATTCTAGTGGACAGAAGAGCAACCCAAAGGCAGGAGAGATCCTGGCTGTGAACGTCATGTGCGACAGTATTGGTGGTTTTAAAAGAATATGGACAGGCCGCTTCATAGATGGGAAGGGGCTCCGAGGTTAAGTGACCGCCCGGGGGACGCAGCTGGGTGGTGAAGGAGACGAAGCCAAATGACAGCTGTCCCGAGCCGCTGAGGGGGTGGGACTCACGGACACTCAGGAGGGTTGGATGGGAAGCGGGTCACCTGGAGCAGAAGGGAACCTTCCTTCTCAGGGATCAGTGAGCAGGGGGCACCTCCACGTGCCCCTGGGGGCAGGGAGGGCGTGGGGTTGCTAAGGACCTGCACACTCTCAGGAGCACAGCCAAGGAAACGGCCTCAGAAAGAACAAGGGTGGTCCTGCGCTGCTGTCCTTTGGGGTGTGGGTTTGTCTGGACAGAAGGGGTTGCTTGATTGATTTGGGATGGGGGCGGGCCCACACGTGCCAAAGGAGCCAGGCCATCCTCGCACGTTTTCCAAGTCTGCTCTGGAGACGCACCATCGCCTGTCCACTATAGCCCCTGCCATCTGCCCTCACCCCCAGAGCTCCACTCCTCACATGGGTCCGCTCCTTGATCCCCCCTGCAGGTACGAAGAAGAGATCAACAGGCGCACAGCGGCCGAGAACGAGTTCGTGGTGCTCAAAAAGGTGAGGGGATGGGGATGCTCCCTCCTGACTGCAGGGCCCAGGCAGCCCTACCTGAGTGACAGCTGCCGCTTAAGCCAGGGGCCTTGCGTGCAAGGCTTCATTTAATTTCCGGAGCAATCTTGGAGGCAGGCTTTACATTACAAGTGAGGAAACTCAGGCTCAGGGAGGCTAAGCAAGCTGCCCACGGTTACCCAGATAATCAGGAGGGAGTGAGGATCCAGGACTCCAGAGTCTGAGCTGTAAATCACAACCCCAGCCCCGCCCCACACGGAGTCCAGTGCGGGGAGAGGGAACCAACTGGGCCTCGCGCAGAGTGCGTCTCGGGAGGACAGATCGGGACAGGACAGGGATCCTTCCTGCTTAGCGGGCTGGGCCAAGGGATGGGGAGAACCACCCCCCAGCTAAGCTGGAGGAGGAGGGATGGAGCAGCAGTGGGTGACGGGGAGGAAGGGGCGGAGTGTGAGGAGCAGGGGATGCCGAGGCTGGGAGAGGCCAGAGGCAGCAGAGGACCAAGTGCCCAGGATGGGGTCATCCTCATCACCAGGAGGGGACATCGGAGATCTCCCCAGGTGGCACCAGCTGATGAGCAGGTGGCATTCCCTAAGAGCTCTAGTCCTCACACCATTTGGACCCCCTGCAAGTCCCACCCCATTGCCTGGAACAGAGAAAGGCTCTCATCCGCGGTTCCTGGGTTCCTGAAGATCTCTCGCCTCACTCACAGACAGAGGGGCTGGTTAAGCGGGAAGGATGGGACCCAGAGTGACAGCTTGTTCTGTGCCCAGGACGTGGACGCCGCCTATATGAACAAGGTGGAGCTGGAGGCCAAGGTGGACGCCCTAATGGACGAGATCAACTTCCTGAGGGCTTTCTATGACGCGGTAAGCGGTGCCAGGTGCTCCCCCTCAGGAGGGCTGGAGGCCGAGGGGCCTCACTGGGCGCAGAGGCTCCCGGCTCCTTCCCTGGTCTCCCCGCAGCTCCTCACTCCATCCCTGAGTTGGAAATTCATGGAGAAGATGCTGCCTCTCCTACCAAGGGAGACCATGAGGGTCCCTGGGGCAGCTGATGGGTCAGACGAGGGGAGAAATTCAAACTTGACCACCTGGACCAGGCATATTCTGTTGGCCAGACAGAAGAACCACCTGTCATTGAATTATGCATGGTTTCCGCAGAACTATCCAACCCACCTGGCTCACCAGGCCTGCTCAGACTTACCTGCTCCTCTTCTTAGAGCAGCTGCAGGGTGAGGCAATTATGCAAACTGAGGCAATTAGTGAGCCCTCAGGTGCTTCTCAAAGTACACGACACAATTGCCCTGCTCTCCTGAAGACAGGTTTTGCCATGTGCCTCTGTACGCCTGACACTGTTCTCGGGGCTGTGAGTACAGCACTGAGCAGAAGCAGTCAAGCCCCCAAGGTCTTGGAGCTTCCATGACGGTGGGAGGTGCAGGCCGCACAGAGAGAATCAAATAACCACACCATTTCAGGCACTGTAGGGGCGACAGAGAAAAAATACAACAGGGGGCAGAGGCAGGCAGACGGTGGGTGAGATTTGAAGAGAAGTCTGAAGGAATTGAGGACTGAGGAATCCAGAAGGAGGCCCAGGTGGCTGGAGTAGAGTGAGGGGAGGAGATGGGGTCGGCAATGTTGCGGCTGGGCCATAGGTGCATCGTGTACCTCCAGGCAGGCCTGGTGAGGACAGGTGATATGCCCATGGGGTTACATATGTTTGGTGCCCAACAGAGGTGGTCATGTTCCAGGAGAAGGGGCATGGGCTCTGTGTCCTCGGGTAAGTTCAGTGACCACCCCACTGCCACCTGGAGCAGAAAAGCATCACCTCCTCTGCTTATTCACTTCAATGCTGACAACCAGTGTGGTGCTGGCTCCGAATTCCGAACAGCAGGCCTCTGGGCTGAGACCCCCTCCAAGCCAGGTCAGCTACTAGGAAAAACTACTCGGGGAAAACAAATTGCCACACAACAACAACAAAATAATTTCTGGAAGCAGGAAATGCGTGAACCAATTGCTAATACAGAAAGGAAAGGGACATTTTCGCTTAGATGTGTGATTTGGACCAATGATTCTCAAATTTTACAGCTCATCAGAATCTTCTAGAGGGCTTATTGGAAAACCAGTCCTGATTTAGCAAGTCTGGGTGGGGCCCAAACTGTTGCATTTCAATCAAGTTCTCAGGTGATGCTGACACCGCTGGTCCGAGGATCGCATCTTGGGAACCACCGCCTTAGGTGACTCTGAAAAGTGATTATTAACAAATTAACTGTGGGTTTACCGTCTCAACAACCATCTTATATGGCCATGAATTTATTTGATCCTCATAGAGAGCACACGAAGCAGTGCTATGACAAGTCCCCTGGGACCCCGCGATGCTATCCAACCCGCTTGGCAGATCCAAGACTTGAGTTTTTCAGTCTGGCGCCCTTTGTGCTATTTCCAGCTGATTTCCATTTCCCATGCCCAAGGAGCAGGGAGGAGCGAAGTCGGGAAACAGGACTGGGAGGGAGCAGAGCTTTGTATCTCCTTCTGACTCAATTTTCTTTCACAAGATGATTTCTTCATTTGGTGTGAAAGTCTGTGTTTTCTCAGAACACGAGACGTCACGGCATTGACAGGTCACGGCAGGGTGCACTTCCTTGACAATGGGAGTGACTTCTGGAGAATTCTGGCTAGTTACCTGTGTTGCTGCTCCCTCTGTGCAGATGACGAGACGATAAAGAACGGAGTAAACTCTGTGACCTCTCTAATGTCCTTCCCAGCCCTTTCAGACCTAAGCAGGATGCCCCACCCCAACAGTGAAAGTGAGACCCTTGATGTCAGGGTCTGTTCCAGCAGCCTAGTCACAGTCTCTCAACATGCATGCACTTGCACATCCACATGCATACATGTACACACGCACATGCACACCCTGCTTCAGCTCTCCTGTCTGGGCCCCGTCACAGGAGCTGGCTCAGCTTCAGGCCCAGATCTCCGAGACCTCCGTGGTCCTCTCCATGGACAACAACCGCAAGCTGGACCTGGACAGCATCATCGCCGAGGTCAAAGCCCAGTACGAGGACATTGCCAATCGCAGCCGGGCGGAGGCTGAGTCCTGGTACCAGATCAAGGTGAGGTGTCAAGGCCAAGTTCATGAAATAATCGTACAGAAATGGGATTTCAAAGGCAAATTAGGTAAGAGCCTTGTCCTCTCGGACGTCCAGTCTGATGGGGTCGAAGAGAACTGAGTTCAGCCTCCAGCAGTACCGTCAGGCCCTGGGGGAACAGCCAGACGAAAGCAGGAGGTGGCCAGTCCTTCTCCAGGGGGTGGATGGACACACCTCCAGTGCCCTGTAGAGGAGAGAGGAGGGACGGTACCAGCCATCAGTGCCAGCAGGAGCAAGAGAGGGAATGTGCATCCAGAGAAGACAGGTGGAACTGGCTGGGGCGGAGGGGCTGGGGGCAAAGGCTGGATATGGGGCACACGGTGAGAGTTTCCAGGTTAGAGCAAACACTCTGAGCTGCGGGGTCACTCGGGGATATGAGATGTGATGCCAAAGAAAACAAACACGAAAGAGCTTTAAAATCAGAAAGCGACAGGCATCCCTGCATGATGCTGAGTTTGTGAGGGTGAGATACTGGTGTGGAGGGAGAAGGAAGAAGGACCAGTACAATTAGAGTCTGGCTGTGGGTGGAGCCTGAGGACACAGCCAGGGGCAGAGCCAAGAGAAAACGCGGAGGGATTTGATGGAGGGGGGCACAGGGAGGCGTCTCCATGCAGCGCCTTGGCAGCCTGTGGGCCCTGGGAAGCCGCCGCCTTCTCTTCTCTGGCCTAACCATCGCTGCCTCCTGCTTCTCCTTCACTCCAGTACGAGGAGCTGCAGCAGTCCGCTGGTCGGCACGGGGACGACCTCCGCACCACCAAGATGGAGATCTCCGAGCTGAACCGGATGATACAGAGGCTGCGTTCTGAGATCGATAACCTGAAGAAGCAGGTGGGGCTGAGCTCCCAGTGCGTCCCATCCGTGCCCCTGTCCCCGGGGCAGAGCTGGGCCTTGTCCTAACTCAGCCCGTGCAGAGAGAAGCCTCCCCAGATGAGTGACCCTCTGGGAATGGAAACCTGCGGTCTCCCACCTCACCAGGGAGGTCAGGACCTTCTTTCTGAGATCAGTCCAACATCATTCCCTCTAGAAAAGGTTCTGTCCTCTGGACGCATACAGGGGCAAAACGTTGAACCACTTTGCTTCCCCACTGCCCAGAGAAGTTCAGCATTGAAAAGGACCCCCAAAATTGTTCTCTCCATCCTGGCTACATCTCAAATTATCCAAGGGGGACAGAGATTAATCTTATTTTTAAAGATGATGAAGCTCCGACCTCCTTTGCGTGAAATCCATTTCAGGAAGTTCTTCCATATTGTTAACCCAAAGCCCACATCGTACTGCATTCCCTCTGGACAATTTCACAAACTCTTGTGTCCTCCCGGCAGTGTGCCACGCTCCAGGCCGCCATCAGTGATGCCGAGCAGCGTGGGGAGCTGGCCCTCAAGGACGCCAAGCACAAGCTGACCGAGCTGGAGGACGCCCTGCAGAAGGCCAAGCAGGACATGGCGCGGCAACTGCGCGAGTACCAGGAGCTCATGAACGTCAAGCTGGCCCTGGACATCGAGATCGCCACCTACCGCAAGCTGCTGGAGGGCGAGGAGTGCAGGTGGGCAGCCTTCTCTCCCAGCGTGGCTCCAACAGATGCCACCAGAGCACTAGCAATGCCGCAGGGCCAGAACCCCACAGTGTCAGGACCCAGATGGAAATTGCAGGGGCGGAAATGGAGTTAAAATGCAGCTGCTGCCTGGAGGCGTCCAGCAGTTGCAGACACTCCCATAGCACCTGTTGGACCCAGGGCAGGGGGCGGGAGGAAAGCTGTCAGGGAGAGGTGGCCTGTGACTACCTGGAAGGCCATAAGGACATTTCTGCCCAGACCCTTTGACAAAGGAGGCCACACTTGGGATGAGCCTCAGCGGCTCCTGTTTACCCAGAGATGCCTACCCTCTGACAGTCCCTCTGCACCTAGTGAGCACGGGCCCTCTCCCCATTTCTCTGTGTATCTTGACTTGATCTCTCTCTAGATGTCCCCTCACAAATCCACAGTAGCTTCCTAAAGCTAATGAGGTGGACGAAAGCCTCGCCAAGCACAGAGCCCGCACGCAGTCAGCACTCAGTGCTGGGTGCTTCAAACACAAAGAACCCAGGGCCCTTTCACTTCTCAGCAAATGAAATGTCCCTTTCTCTCCCCACCTGCAACAGACTCACTGGGGAAGGCGTCGGACCCGTGAACATCTGTGAGTAAATGTCTTGGGATGATAGAAAAGTGGGGGACAAAGTGGAAGCTAATAGCGTCACTAGCAAGGATTTGGTGAATGATAAAGCACGAGCTGGGCAGGGATGGCACTAAGACCTTCTTAGGGGTCCTATGGGGGCCCCTCTCTTCCTTGGCCCTTCCTCCCAGTGGGGTCAAGAGAGATGTGTGGTGACCCCTCACCCCCAGGGCCAGTCCCAGTGGGGTCACATGTCCACAGGAATGACTCCACCCTGGCCCTGGAGGGTTGCAGTTACAGGACGGGACTACCCACAGAGCAATAGGTCTCCAGTCCGAATGCCTGATTTCTCAGCTGGTTCTGGCAGGAATCCAAACTCACATAACTAATAAGAGGCTATCAAACAGGCTAAATGTACAGACCCGTATTTAGAATTGAAGCAAATTAATTGAACAGGTAGAGTAGCGACTGATCCGGCTTGGCCTCAGCTCCCAGGGGAGCTCCCCGTCTGGGGAGGAGTCATCTCACAGATTACCCAGCAGGACTTAGGCGGCATCCGTGGGGCCCCGAGTCCTGGGCAGGGGAAGGAGAGGCCCCTGGGCCCCATGGGGGTCAGAGCACGTGAGGGAGGCTGGAAAACCAGGATCAGGAACTTGAAACCAATGAATAAGAGAAACAGGTGTGCCTCCCCTGGGGAAATGGACACTGAGTGGGGCAGCCAAAGAGCCATCTTGGAACATTTGACAGGCTGCGGAGAGCTATGTCCCGAGGTAGTGAGCTCCCCGTCGCTGAAAGCATTGAGCAGAAGCTGAGTGATTGCCTCTCAGGGATGCAGTCAAGGGGATTCCAGCCCTGGGGGAGGGCCATCTGGACGGCCTTCGGGCGTCTTCCAGCATGGGAGTCTGTGATCCCCGCAGAGATGTGAGGCCTCGCGGTCCATCCACTATGAGAGCCCCTGGTCTTAATGTGGAATGAACACAGCATAGGAGCCTAAAGCCTCGGTTCCTGGCAGGTGGTGTGACCCTGGGTGTGTCACTTGCTGTCTTGCACGTCCGTTTACCCCTCTATAAAATGGGGGTGATCTTAGCAACGGGTCCTCTCCGGCCTGTGAGATCCTCGTGATCACAGCTGTGAAAGTGCTTTGAAAGTTGTGACGCCCTGTGTGCGATGCTCACATTGAGGCAGCGTGGGATGGGGACGGGGAGTCCCTGCCACCTGCTCTGACCCTGGCCCCCGGGGAACGCGGAGATTCCTGTTCCCTGAGGAAGTGCCCTGGAAGGGAGCTGGCCTGGGCGGGAGATCCAGGGAGGGTGGCTCTTGGGAAATCAGAGGAGCCTGCCATGCCCCTGTGCCTTCTCTCCACAGCCGTGGTCTCCTCCTCCGGGGGCACAGGCTACAGCGGGGGCGGCGGCCTCTGTGTGGGCGGGAGCGGCTATGGCGCTGGCTTCAGCTCCACCAGTGGCCGCAGCATGGGCGGCAGCACCTCCAGCATGCGCATCATCTCCAAGACTTCGACCAAGAGGAGTTATAGGAGCTAAAGGCCCCACCCTCGCCTCGGCTGCCTCCCCGCTCAGGCCCCAGCTCCCAGCCCTAGGGCCTGCCGCTTTGCTGACCCGCCCCCCACGCACAATCAATAGCAGAAGGCACGGGGAGCAGGGAAGTGGCCTGTGAGTTCTCAGGTCACCTCGTCCATCGCTCTGCCTCCAGACAGGTCCCCACAAAGGTACCCCACTCGCTCCTCATCCCAGACCCTCCAGGGTCCACAGGCATCCATTCCAACTAACACTGCCTCGATTGCTCTGTGCCAAGACCAGGGCAAGGACTTGGCCCTTCCAGAGCGTGGGTGCAGTGGCCTTCCTCTCTCTGTCTGACCCCCATCCACTGCGGCCAGAGTGCTTCACTGGGGGGTGGGGGGTTAGAACAGACCTGGTGCCCCCAAAGAAGTAGGCGCAGTCTGCGCCGGAGCCTCCACCTGTGCGGCTTCTCACGCAGACAGAACGCTTTCCTACAGGTCGCTCAGGCCAGGGAATGTTGCAAACCCTGCCTCCATATTGCCTCCTCACCTCCTTCTTTGTGTCCTCACCCGGGCCCCCAGCCACTTCCCCTGTCACCTCCCACCAGCAGAATATTTGATGAGAAATCAACGCCCTTCAAAATAGGACCAACTCGATGACTCAGACTGGAATGGAATAATTTTATCAAGAACTCGAACGTTCTCCATGGCCTGGGGCTGCGTTAGCTGATAGTTCATAGCCAAATTCCTTCCAAACTGGCCCCATTTAAGCCAACATTAGAATTACTGTCCCAAACCAAAATTCCCATGAGGAAAGGAGGCCACGTGAGGGCGTGTGGACGGCTGCTCTGCACCAGACGCCTGCAGCAGAGGCACCAGGAAAAGGACCCCCCTTAGCCTGTGTTAGGACCCCGTGGGAGAGTTCTCCTGCAAAGTAATCAAGGCTCAGGACCTGTTTTCTTTCCTCTGCAGTAGCCACGTCTCTCTTCTGGAAAGTCCCTTTCGTCTCTACCTCCTTGTCCTCCTCTACCACCCAGCGTCCACTCGCAGCCCCTCTCCTTGCCTTTATTTCTCGCCTTTCCCTCTTCCTTTTCTTCCTCTCCCACTCATCTGTTTGGCAATGTTATTTCCTGCTCTCTCTCCTGACCTTTCTTTTTCGATCTGCCTGTCTCTGAAATGTCCGCGGTTTGGATTTGCCCATCCCCACCAGCCCTAGCCAGAACCGAAACTCTTGAAGGCAGTCCACCGGACTCCCTGCCCCACAGGGAGCCAACTGGGAAGAGGGGCGCTATCTGTTCCTCGCACAGAGCGGACGCGTTGCTCAGCCCCGTGAAGGAAGCAGAGGTGGGGGTGTAATAGGAGAGTGGGGTAGGCCGGAGACCTTTGTGAGGCTGGCATTCACGGGGTGATTTCCTTACTTAGTCTGAAGAGTTAGAAACCCTCAAAACACCTGCCAGGCATCAAGATCAGAATGCGTGCCAAGGGCAAGTAGAGACTGGCGCCATGCTGCTGACGTGAGGACAGGAAGTTCACTGCTTCAGAAAAATGTCCCTCCCATGTGGCTCTGATCGTTTCAAACCCTCCTGAACTGCCCGCTCCCTGTGCCTGCCTGTTTCCTGAAATAGCTTCAATAAAATGTCACCGAGCTTTCTGGGTCTTGGCTGCGTCTGTCCTGCCTCACCCTCAGAAGGCAGCCTTGGAACTGGTGTTCTCTCCGAGCAGGTGCCTTCTGCCCACAACCCATCCAGTGAACCGTCCAACATCCGCTCACAAGCTCTGGCCCTGGGCTGCAGGGAGCCCAGCACGGTCACTGAGACCACCCGCCAGCCCAGGTGCAGTGGGGGAGGCTCTGCTGTGTCCACATGGCTCCCGTGAGCCCTGGCTCACAGCTCTGCCCGCTGTCTCACCCATTCCCTCTGGCAGGAGTCTGCTCTCCGGTCTGGCTTCTTAGGGTCACCATCACTGTTAACACCATCTCCTGGGCCCACTTCTGTGATGCTTACTCCAGTGGGGAATGAGAATCGCCTTCCCCTTGGGGCCAGGGTGGCATAGTGGTTAAGTTCGCACACTCCACTTTGGTGGTCAGGGGTTCGCAGGTTCAGATCCCTGGGGCAGACCTACACACCACTTGTCAAGCCATGCTGTGGCAGCATCCCACATACAAAATAGAGGAAGATGGGCACAGATATTAGTTCAGGGACAATCTTCCTCACCACAAAAAAAAAAAAAGAATCACCTTCCCCACACCATGCACCAGGACCCCACCCCTCTCCCCCCCTGCCCCCCCCCCCCCCGCCCTTGGTCTCATGTCACACCCCTTACCTCCCCAGGTCCCAACCTTCCCTCCAAGCACTCTAGGACCCAAAGTCAAGACTCTGTAAAAGGGGTCAGTGTGAAATGTCACAAGTAGACCGAGAATTTCCAAGCACAAGAAACTTTTGAGTTCCAATCTCCTAATCTGCCGGCGGGGAAGCCGAGGAACAGGGTTGACGTCATGCATATAGGCGGCAGACCCCCGAATCCTAGTCCAGGCTTCTCTCCACGGGAGCAGCAGAGTCTGGTGACATCAGAAAGAATGAGACTGAATCCCAGCCTATCAGGGACAAGCTGTGTGGCTTGGGGAGTGATGGCCACTCACTTATCTGTAAAATAGAAACTACATCATAATGTCATGAGAATTAAATGAGATAATGGATGGAGAGCTCGGAGTGGTCCCCACCCAGAGTAAGCACCCAATAGATGTTACTATTACTATTATTGCCTTGATTTTGACCTGGAACAAAGTCACAGTGTGGAAGGGAAAGACCAGGCGGCCACAGCAGAGGTTTCACGGATGGGACTGATGGAAAGAGGGAGGGAGGAGAAGCGGAGGGGGAGGCTTCAAGCATCTCCAAAGAGCTGTGACCCAGGTGCTGGGGAGAAAGCCTGTGTTCTGCACCCACCTGAACAGTTCCAGAGGACAACGACTGTCCCCAGAGATGTCCTCGGGCCGGAGCAGGCTCTGTCTACCTCCAGGAGGCTCGGGATACAGAAGAAAGGGAAAGGAACAGTGACGTGGAACCCCAACCTAGTGGCTGACATCATCGCATGTTTTGGGCGAGCATCCCTTCTTCTTCGTTGCTCAAGCACAAGGCATCTCCTCTTGAGGCCCCTGCAGCTATTTTGGACCAAACGGGCTCTGGAGACAAGTCTATGTCTGGAGCCTCCTATCGCAGGAGCCCTAGCGAGACGGGGGGTGGCTGAGCCAGAGCCAGGACCCCGCCTGGCCTGAGCAGGGGCAGGGCCCAGCCTGCTTAGGGAGGCTTCTCCAACCCCAAAAGCCTTCCTCCCTGGGAGCTTCTAGGATCACCCAGGAGCCCGTGGAAGGCCCTCGGGTCTGGAGCATCTGCAGAAAAACATAAAAACAGCCTTGGGGAAACAGAGCATCCTCAAGCTTGTCTAATTTAGACTCTAGTCCGGAGCAGCAGGGTGTATAATTCATGCTCCCCACCCCATGAAATGGCACAAAGTCCCAACTCTCCCTTTCCTTGAGGCCGAGCCACCGCATACACCCAACACATCTGCCCAGTTGGCCCCTTTCATCACCCCCATAAACAAGGAAGGAGGACAAATGGGCCTTTTATAGGGCCCACCGGCATCGGCCACTGGTTCCTTCCCTTTGCTCTTCGCTACCCTAATTATCCACCTTGGTACTTAGCAGCTGCCAATATCCCAAGCTCATAAACCTGATTTAATGGTGATTTAGGGGTTGACCCAGCTCAGCCCTCTATCCTCTACCGGATATAAGGGTGGAAGCCGAGCTGCCTGATAACTCAGCCTCCTGTTCTCCCCCCAGGCCCGGTCTCTCTTCTGCGCTCCGCCATGTCCTGCCGCTCCTTCCAGCAGGGCTCCAGATGTGGCAGTCGGAGCTTCAGCTCGAACTCGGCCGTCCTCCCGCGGATGGTCACCCACTACACAGTGAGCAAGGGGCCATTCCAGCTCGGAGGCAGCGGGGGCCTCCGCGCCCTGGGCTGCCTCGGCTCTCGGAGCCTGTGCAACGTGGGCTTTGGAAGGCCCCGGGTCGCCTCCAGGTGCAGCCTGCCTGGCTTCGGGTACCGACTGGGGGCCACCTGTGGACCTTCTGCCTGCATCGCCCCCGTCACCATCAATGAGAGCCTGTTGGTCCCACTGGAGCTGGAGATCGACCCGACCGTTCAGCGGGTGAAGAGGGACGAAAAGGAGCAGATCAAGTGCCTCAATAACCGCTTTGCATCCTTCATCAACAAGGTAAGAGGGAGCGCCCAGTGGTCCAGGGCTGGGGGTTGCAGAGAACGCCTTTTGTCTGGTCCAGGGGGCCAGGAAGAGACGGCCATGGAGAAGCCACATTGATCATTGGCCTCTCCCGTACTCCACAACTGCTAATCGTTGAAAGCTGGTCAGATCAGCCTCAGCACTAAACCTTTCTGCTGGCTAGTTCTTTTTTTTTTTTTTTTCAGATTTTATTTTTTCCTTTTTCTCCCCAAAGCCCCCTGGTACATAGTTGTATATTCTTCATTGTGGGTCCTTCTAGTTGTGGCATGTGGGACGCTGCCTCAGCGTGGTTTGATGAGCAGTGCCATGTCCGCGCCCAGCATTCGAACCAACGAAACACTGGGCCGCCTGCAGCAGAGCTCACAAACTTAACCACTCAGCCACGGGGCCAGCCCCTGGCTAGCTCTTTTTTAATATGTCGTCTCTCTCTGCATGTGATCTGATAAAATCCCCAAGGTTGCCTAAGGTCAGACTACAAGAAGAACTTCCAAAACAGTGATAGACACTGAAAAGGAACAGCCAAAGACCTTCCCAATGAGACTTTAACAAAAGAGCTGCCTTCTGAGTGCATGAGCTGCAGTGAGACCCTTGGGCCTGGGCGTGGGGATGGGCGCTGTGACCCCCAAATTTGCCATTGCCTTAGACCTGGGATGAGGAGAAGGTGGAGGCCTCAGAGCCAAGGACGTGTGGCCATGAGCAAAGTCTTACGCATGTCAGCCCCAGAGCCACGGCTCTGAGAGGCTTCGTGGAAGGGGGATGTGTGGCCTGTGGAAGGCACTGAGATGGCCTGTCACCCTCAGCTGCCTGTCCCCACCCCCCAGGGAGCCCCTTGGGGTCAGAATACCTGCCACGGGCTGAGCCAGTGTTTCCAGTGACCCCAAGGTTTAAGGCAGAGTCCTGGGCCGGAAGTCAGGAGACCTGGGGCCTGGCACTGGCACCACCCCTGCCTGTTCCCCTGATGCCCTGTGCAAACCCCTCACCCCCTGCCTCAGGGACCCTGCTGCCCGTGGGGAAGGGGTGATGCTGATGGAAGAATTAAAGGAAGTTGTATATGCAAAAGTGCTCCAAAAAGAAATTTGTTTTAGTGAATGGGAACTGTTACACTCTGGGTTTTGTTTTGTAGGTGTGTTAAGTACTGGTTCTAAATTCACTCTAATGACGTGGGCCCTGGTTGTCAGATGTGTCACGCCACCTTCCTTGAGGCTGGGAGCCTCCTGGGGACCCGGCCATTGACCAGAAGTAGGGCAACGTCACTTCCTCTGCAGTTTTCTTGAGAGACAATGTGCCATCTGGGGAATCCCAGGGCGAGCCCTAGAGACCGTGCTCCCTCTGCCAGTGACCAGCTAGGGGGTCGTGGTCACCTCGCCCAGCTTCTCGTAATCTGGGTCCCCAGGCCACGAAAATAGAGAAGGTGGGCCAGCCGCTCTCCACATTGCTGTGACAGGGACGTTTTTTGGAGGCAGCCACGCAGGACACAGCAAAGGGGGTGAAAAGAGCTCAGAGTGCCGAGACAGAGCCTTTGATCTGCCCTTCTCCCCTGAGGGCCCCCGGGCCCGACTCCCCAGTATAACGCCACTGGTTTACACTAGTAAAGTGTTCCCATACACCATCCCAACGAGGAGCTGTAGGAAGCAAAGCGAGGCTCGAAGGGATGTGCTGGCTCCGATATGGTTACAAGGCTGCGGGGAGGCAGGCGGGCAGGGCTGGAAGGCAGACCTGCCCCGGGCTCTTCGGGCAGCACACTCTTTCCACTATAACATGTGGACCCCCCTGAGGAGAAGATCGGGTCCTATAAGCTCCCCCAGGCAGGGGAGACCCAGAGACACATCCTCAGGTGCCAGTCTATGCAGACTGTAATCTTTGCAAATTTTAGCACATAGGCAGCGGTGCATTGAGAGAGACAGCGCGAACTGATTCCATGCCCCCACCACCATTTGCTCTCTCCCAGCCGTGGTCCCCAGGGTCGCTGCTGCTCTGTGACATCCCATTCTTGGCTGCAGGTCCGGTTCCTGGAGCAGAAGAACAAGCTGCTGGAGACCAAGTGGAACTTCATGCAGCAGCAGAGGTGCTGCCAGAGCAACATCGAGCCCATCTTCGAGGCCTACATCTGTGCCCTCCGGAGGCAGCTGGACTGCGTGGCCGGGGACCGGGCCAGGCTGGAGTCGGAGCTCTGCAGCCTCCAGGACGCGCTGGAGGGCTACAAGAAGAAGTGAGTCTCTCAGCTTTCGCCCCACCAGGGGATCTAGGGCAAGCCATGTCAACAGTCTGGGCCTCAGTTTCCCCATCTATAAAACAGAAAGCTGAAACTTAGTTGCTTAGGTGGCAGAACAATTGGGTGGGATAATGCAGCAGCGCATTGAGTGTACTGCCCGTCTGGCACACGGTAGGAGCTCTG